ATGTTCAGGATATCAGGAACATCTGCTTGACTGAAATGACATTGAAAGTTCCATCTTCTCCATTTTTCCCGGATGATATTAGTCCAAAAAATTAACATCGAATGGCGTTGATCAAACGATCGAAAATGCCACCACTCGTCGACTCACCCGCCAAAACCCTACGCATGCGCAGTCGTTTTTCAGCCCTGTCGTCGAAACTGGAAGCCGAGCACCTTTCTCCAACACTGTTCTGTGGAAAACTCCCTTCCTGCTGTATGGTTTGAACAATGTCGCGAAGAATTTTGACAGATGTTAAAATTGTTGACATCCAGAAACGAAAAATACCAAGCAAACATTACGTAAGTACTACAAAGATAATGGATCCCGTGATCACTAATTTAGTCCAATATGTTTTCTTCTCAGTACATGCATGGTTAACCTTAAGATTAAGTTAAAACTGCAGGGTTATTTTATGTATGGTCAGGATGAAAAAAAACCCGTCGACATTTCGTTTTAGGAATGAAAAGGGCTACGAAATAGCAAGTATATTGTATTGTATAGCGTATATTGTATTGTATAGCGTGTATTGTACAAATCATAACACCATGCTAAACCACAACTTACTTAATTATTGATGTCCATACTAAGTTAAACCATTAAAAATAACCTAAGGTATCGATCGTTGGTTACTTGGGCTAGTTGTTACGTCAGCTTTTATTTTGGGTAGGTGATTCAAAACAATGGAGTTATCACGAGAAACATTTGGACCTGTCGTTTAGAGTCTACGCTCGATTTGCGCCGCTTTCTCGAGTCAGGTCTACGTTCCTCTCCGAGAAGAGACGGCTGGACGCGTGAGCGACAAAGCATGTCTGTAACGTATCTTCATAATTTAATTCTTGCGGCGCTTCAGGTGGCCGGAAATGTCATCTGATGACAATCATAGGCAGGCCCACATGACGCAGTACGGCTCGTAAAATTTGTGGCGTTTTCACAACTTCTTTTAATTTTGGTCCTCCAACCTATTTTGTTTCACATTATTGTTGGGGAAGGACATTACATGTTGTGTTCTATAGAAGATTTANATGTCGCACAACTTCTTTGCTACTGCGAGAGAGCTAATTTATGCAGCCTGCTCGATTCAGGCAGGCAGATTTCTTATTGGTTGAAATTAACAATGTGAAGTCCACGAGTCCAGCCATGAGTTCGGGGGAGGAGCGCGGGCTCCTTTCCCGAACAGCAGCTGGTAATTGAGCCAATTTAGAGTCTGGTATGCAAAACCATTGAAAATTAATCACTGAAAAGCAGCTGAAAGCAATAGATATAAATCAGTATGGATAACACCCTGTAAGAAAGTGCACGCTAAAAGCCATACCTCAATAACTCGATAGAAACAGGACCAGTTACTATGACTGGGGATGTTGATATGGTGAAAGAAGTGAGCAAGGGGAATTTTGATAATCAAAATAATCAGGGGATTTTCTTTTTCTTTCACTGCAGTGTTTTCTAAAAGAAATAGGAAACATTTTCCTCAAGTTTCTATATCGAGTTTTAGTATGAGTCTACTGGCAGTCTATCACAAATTCTGTTCTGTTATTGGCTACACTACTCATCTATTCTATCATAGTTAATAAGCAGCTTAGCAGCGTGCGGTTTTGACAAAATTGGAGCTGCTTCTTTGCATTTTTGAAGCTTCTGTGAAGAGGACTAAGATAAAGTTTTGAACAACTAGTAGATTTGTACTAGAAGAATTAGATTATTCGTTCTTGATTTCTATATGTGATAGATGACTCAGCCTGCACCCTTGTCAACAATGACATGCCACACAATAGAAATCTCAAGCTCGTCATCTAATTGTTAATTAGAAAATAGTCCTAAGAAAATATGCAAACTGATTGGTTAAAAATCGTGTCTCTATAACTCGATGGAAATGCAGAACTAGCACGAGCTGTGGACGTAATGATGGCACGAGCAAAGAGAATTTTCACCTTGATAATTAAAGTTAACAAGCTGTTTCCTTTTTTTCGTCGTGGTGTTTTCTAAAAGAAATATAAAACATGTTCTCCGTGTTTGTATCAAGTTATAGAAACACTCATGAAAGTCTGGGAGAACTCAAAAAAGCCGTGGAAACACTCACCTGCAGCTAGTGTTCCCACAGCATTTCTCATTCTCCCAAACTTCCACTCGTGTTTCCAGAACTCGATGGAAACACGGTACATGTTTTCTACTACTTAAACAGAAACACTCATAAAAGTTTGAAGAGCACAGCATTTTCTCATTCTTCCAGATTTCCACCTGTGCTCTATAACTTGAGAGAAACACTAAAAAATTGTCTTCTTAAATAATTGGATAATAGAAGTTGGTTCAGTTACTGGATGCAGATAAATTAACTCTCAATTATTGGAGGGTTCTTATTTGCTGTTTGTTCACTTGGTTTAATCAGTACGTCTCCACAACATTATTTGCTAGGCCTCAGGGGTTAGGGGTTACTTTAAATATCAGGCAAACAGACAGCATCTTCATTCAGAGATTGATTTAAAGATGGCCTGAGAGGGGGTAGTGATTAAGAGCTCTACACTACGTCCAGTCTGACAACAATTGTGAAACTGTTGTTAGTCAAAACTGAAACAGTTTGAATACTGAAATGTTTTGATGTTAACATCAAAGAGGGAGACATGAGGGTGCTCTGAACACCACAAACTCCTTAGAGTTAGCAAAACAAATTAATGAACACTGCCACTGCAACATATTATTTAGCCCATGATTTGAATGTCTACACTTGTTATAATACTGTTGTGCCTCAACAATTTTCCACAAAATAAACACATCACAATGCTTTATTGGCTACATGTGGACACTGCTGATGCCCATAAAGGTCAAAAGCAGCTTTGGATTGGCAGCTGGAGCATATCGCAGGTTAACTAGCCACTGCTGGTCTATATTTGTTAGTTTGTAAAATATACAACTGTAAATTAGCATGGATTAATGAGGTTTACATGCTAAATTTAGGTTGGAGAAAGGTCAAACAAGAAACACGGCACCACAAAGAATTCCATTTTACCAAACAAGGGTAGTGTGAAAAACAAAACATTGCAAACCGTAGAGATTGAGATAACCGCAACACTGCAAGGCGGGCATCACGGTATTAGAAAAGCAGTCAACAGCGCAACACCGCAAAGCCCCATGTCCCCCTCATCAAAGGTGTTAATGACTTCTTCATCTTGTTCCCAGTTTACAAGTAATTTAACTTACATGTATGTGATATATGTCCATAACAGCCTTAAACCATGATTGAAATCACTTGACATGACTTTTTTTTGTTTGTATTCATTTGGTTCTACTGTTTACACATGTTTTGAAGGTGTGGCAGTTACAAGGCTATAAAAACTCAACTTTTCAGTCGACAGTTTTTACTTGCAGTCTAATAAACAACAGCAGTATGCTTGGGTGCCAATTATATATTTATTGCCAAGTAAAATATCATTCAAGGAACACACAAGTGGTGAACAGTTGTGATTAACATTAAGTGATCATGAAGGTTGAACATTCTCTTCTTTCTTTATGACGTCATTTGTACATGTAGTGTGGATGAATCTGACTTACTTTGGCAATTGGATTCTTGGAAATATGTCTTCAGGACATTTATGCTTGTGAATGAGGATTGCTCAAGCTTTCAAGTTCTGTTCTTAGAAGTGTAACTTGTATATACCTAAAGAAATGTGCACCATTTACCTTTTTAAATGTAAAAGCTGATTTGTCAGTAAGTTTAATAGGAGAGTTCAAAAGTATCAATGAGTAAAATGAGCCATAAGTCATGAATCAATGAGTCAAGTACAAAAAATTGCAATTACTAAGGAAAACGATTCTATTTACAAGAAGGGCCTATTTCAATGGATCACGTGACCTCTTTCGATTTTAAAATTAGCATTTGGCATTGCACAATTAAAAGAAAAGCACGACTAGTCCTGGGGACAAGGACGTGTCACAGCGTATATATGAAGTTTACGAGCCCAGTGTACCAATGAGCTGAAACATAAGTTTGGAACATTGTCAAAGTTCTTCTACCCCTTATTAGAGAGGCTAAGCTTGACATTTACAGCAAATGGCAAAAATTGAACTTTTTAGGTCTATTTATGTCATTTTTATGTCTGGTCTCAGCCATCTCTACACTTTTAAGTGTACAGAAAAAGTTTTATTTAAAAATAAAACTTTTTGCATTCACGGTGAGTTTTCTACTAGACAGGTTTGATTTACAATAAAGTAGTAAAATAAGTGAGCAAAATCCAAGTTATTTTTTGGTGTCTGCTGTAAACATCATGCTAGCCCCCATATTATTTGTTTTACAAAATCCACATCATGAAAAAAATAATAACCTTTCTTCTTGTCAAGCTAATTAACAAAGATTGTCGACACAGAGTGCTCTGGAAATAATCCTTTGATCATCAATGCCCCATTCACTCTATGTAATGCATGGAGTAATGGAAGTTGTACAAAACGTCACATATTAAGTCTCAAAGATATTGTGCATATGATATTCCTGTGCACAATTCTCAAAGAGCAAATAAGGCAACCATAGTAATTGTTGGAGGAGGGAAGGAGGGAGTGTTCCTTCAGCCATAGAGAAGCATTAAGCTTTTACAGCACCAGAAAAAATCTGTGCAAGGGTTGTGAGAATCACAAACAAATCAGTTGAAAATAAACCCCTACTTTATAAGTTTATTTACTGGAACTGGAACATTCAAGAAACAGTAAAGAATACAGAGTTCCCAGTGAATTATGAAATAATACAATTTGAATGATGATTTGGTCACAGAATTGATTAATGCCCAGTTGAAATTGTTGAATGACTGTTCACTTCAAAACTTGCATCATCATAAGAATTAGCTTACTGCCAAACTTTAAGGCTTGCATTGCAGTTACATTTTGTGATGTCATGCACTAATTTGAAAGGACATGACAGAAACATGAAGGAAAACGTGATTTGGAATTATTTTTGTGAA